GCAATGAAAACACAAAGTATCAAAGGGCATTAACTCTGTGATTTGTCAAAATGGAGTTATGGTTCTTAATTGTGCACTGCACTTCCTCTTAATGTGCTTGACCATTGTATGAAGTTTTTTTTGAATTACAGCCATTAGTCATCAAGTTATGCTCTGGACAAGGAAAAGTAACAAAGGGCAATAACTTTGTAATGACTTTACATAGAGTTATGGTTCTTGTGCACTGCACTTCCTCTTATTGTGCTTGGCCATTGTATGAAGTTGTTTTAAATTCCAACAATTAGTCTTCAAGATATGCCTCGGACAAAAGAAAGCAATGGAAAAGTAAATAGGGCAATAACTCTGTAATTATTTCAAAAAGAGTTATGATTCTTGTGCACTGCACTTCCTCTTATTGTGCTTGACCATTGTATGAAGTTGTTTTGAATTCCACCAGTAGTTTTCAAGTTATGCTCTGGACAATGAAAAGTAACAAAGGGCAAGAACTCTGTAATTAGTAAAGATGGAGTGAAGGTTCTTGTGCACTGCAATCCCTTTCAATGTGCTTGATCATTTTATGAAGTTGTATTGAATTCCAGCCATTAGTCTTCAAGTTATGCTCCGGACAAAGAAAGCAATGGAAATGTTACAAAGGGCAATAACTCTGTAATTACTTCAGTTAGAGTAGTGATTTTTGTGCACTGCACTTTCTCTAAATATGCTTGACCATTGTATGAAGTTTTTTTGAATTCCAGCCATTAGTCATCAATTTATGCTCCAGACAAGGAAAATGCTGGACTGACCGACCACCGGATGACTCATTTATACCCCCAAACTTCGTTTCAGGGGTATAATTACATGAAAATGCGCAGAATCAGTTTGAGTCTGTGCATGAGAGATAATGGGAAAGTGTAACATCTCTCATGCTTACCCCAAGCTTCAGCAGTATTCCATCTTTATGACTTAACAAGCAAATTCGTTGAATTTATATCCCCCGCCGAGTACTGGTTATTATCAACACAACAACTGTAGACATTTGTAAGGCTTTATTTATATATTAATCATGGCATAAACAGTAATATTCTTTGAACTTGATAAATATTCAGCGCAATAACAGAGCCATAATTTTGAGTTAAATAATAAAATCCGGAAATGCCAATGAGATGTATGCATACTACATAACTAATCAAGGGCCATAAATCTGAGTTATAAGTATCTGACTGGGAACTAGGTGACTATTATAATTATGCACATCTCCTCTTAGTATCCCATAAAGTTTCATTGAATTCCAGCCAGTAGAAGCAGAGAAGTAGCGAGGAAACAAATATTTTTCTATATGGACACTGCATAACTAATCAAGGGCCATAACTCTGAGTTAAAGTGTCTGACAGGAACAAGCGGACGATATGCACATCTCCTCATGGTATTGAAGGTTCCCATAAAGTTTAGTTGAATTCCAGCCAGTAGTTGCAGAGAAGAAGCGCGGAAACGATTTTTACTCTATATGCATACTACATAACTAATCAAGGGCCATAACTCTGAGTTAAAGTGTCTGACCGGAACAAGCCATTCATGTAAAGTTTCATGACTCTAGGTCAAATTCTTTTTGAGTTACGTGCGACACAAGTTGAAAATTGCAAAATTTTACTAAGTCAAGGGCAATAACTCTGAAAATACTAAAAATATCCACACGAAAATACCCAGGTGCACAACTAAACATGCTGATCAACATTCCTGTAAAGTTTCACGACTCTAGGTCAAATACTTTTTGAGTTACATGCGACACAAGTTGAAAATTGCAAAATTTTACTAAGTCAAGGGCAATAACTCTGAAAATACTAAAAATATCCACACGAAAATACCCAGGCGCACAACTACACATGCTGATCAACATTCCTGTAAAGTTTCATGACTCTAGATCAAATACTTTTTGAGTTACGTGCGACACAAAAGTGAACGGACGGACGGACAAGGGTAAATCTAAATGCCCGCCACTAAAGTGGGGGCACAAAAATAATTTACTACACGAAAAACTCAAACAGAAACCTGTAAGAAGACCACGCCGCAGGCAAGTTGGACAGATCAAAATATATGAGCCGCGTCATGACAAAACCAACGTAATGCGTCTGCGACAAGCATGGATCCAGACCAGCCTGCGCATCGAAGCAGTCTGATCAGGATCCATGCTGTTTACTTACAAACCCTATTACAAGTAGAGAAACTGATAGCGAACAGCATGGATCCTGATCAGACTGCGCGGAGGCGCAGGCTGGTCTGGATCCATGCTGGTCACAAACCCACTATGTTGGTTTTGTCATGATGGGGCTCATATATAATATAGATGAGTTAAAAATGACAACCTGCAATCAAAAACAGTCAGCTCCAAGCACCAAGTCTTCAAATGACTTTTAATGAGTAAATCAACAAGAAATAATGGCAATAAAGGTTCAGTGTAATTTTGGTAGAGAAAAACAAGCCATTTATTTGAATACAATGTAAATTTTAATAATGACACAAAGTTCCTCAAACAAATGACATCGCACCAAAGCCTAATTCCTCACTTGATTAAGTCTGCTTTTCTTTTGTTTCCATGAGATATTCAACCTTGATTGATACTTGAATCATAGATTGTAAACTATACTGTAGAGTCAACATCCATTCTCTTATACAAAAGGTATTTGAATTCATAAATTGGATGCTTGCCAAGAAAGAGCATTTATGAACTCATTTCATTTTATATTTCCAAATTCCAATCCTTTTCCACTTTTTTCTAAAGACAATTGAAATGTCTCTTCACAAGCCGTATCATTAACACAATATTTATCACTCGGTCTTATTATTATCATTTTGATGGCTTTCCTGCAGTTCCTTTAATTTATCCGAAGCTGATTTATACGGGGATATATACTGAGACAAACTTTTATCTTTAATGTCAGTTATATTGAGTTTCGTGTCCTTGAACAAGAAAGGATGCCACACACCTTGAATGGATGGAGTGTCAGTATGCCATTCTTTACGTAGTCTCATTATCTGACCTCCAGATCTGCCTTTCATTAAACCAATCCACTGGGATATTTCCTCCTTACTACATTTCCGTAGTGTAACATCTTCTTTGTAACCATTTACTGAAAGGTTGAAAGTAGAAAAATTGATGCAGCTCTTTGATTTTAAGTTAATCAATTCAAAGTATATATGGTTTGTGTTGGGTTTTATGCCAAACATGTACATATGAATATCATGAGGTTTAAAATGACAAATTAATCTTTGCAGGGCATTTTCGCACCATCACCCTAATAAATCACTCCTTTCCTAACTCAAAATCATCATTTTTCCCAAATTTCAAAAATAACACGGTAGTTTTTTGCAATTAAAGCCAGTAGCCTTTTCCCAAAATAGCTGAAAAAATACTTTGTTCCTTCTTCTGTTTCCTACCCAGTCCCTTCTTGAGCTAATAGGCTTACATAAATTTGTAATTTTTTAATGTATTAATGAACATGAATAATGTTAAAGGCGTTTAATAAACCAAATATTTGATTTTTTTTGTCTGATTTGATGGTTTTTTTTTATGTTGTCCGATTTTTCCCGATTTGTCTGAAACATCATAACATTCCCAATTCTTGGGGTCTGGTCATGTTCCAAAAGTGCTGAATTGGGATTTTTTTTTTGATTTTATGGGTTAGAAATATTAGTTCAGGATATTATACAATAATTTGAGGGAAGACTCCAGATGTTTACATGTTTATCAATAAAAAACAACAACAAACAATATTAAATAATATAAGTAACTAGGCTTGATCAATAGTATCTTAGGACAATCTTCCATAATGCTAAAGGGAAGTTAATGAAGTCAACAAAATATTCTCTAGCAATGGGATTCACTTCGGTCTTTTAAATACAATAGATTTTGTTTGTAAAAATCAGCATCTTTAAAAACCTGAAAGAAGGATAAGTTATAGTAGAGACAACGAATACAAACTCAAATTTTATTTATTTAAACATCCAGTGATCAAAATATAACATATTTAAATCCTGATTATGTGAATGAATTTGAAGAAATCTACAATTGTCATCAAAACACGTCTGAGTTTCAAGTGAACAATTCTTTTTCAAAATAGTCGTGTGGCCTGTGTAGTTGAAAACACTCACAAAATGATTGATGTGCATAGAAACATTTTGAATTTGAATAGATACATTCAGAAAAAGAAGTTATTAAAAAAAAACAATGTTTTTTCATGAAAATTTTAAGTTCAAGGAGGTAATTCTGATAAATTTTGTACTAGAGTTGTAAACCTTGTCACATATGATGTGGTTGATGACAAGCAACTTATATTTAAAGTTTGAAGAAAATACCTAAGAAATAAAGAACTTATAGTGAAAAAAACTTAAAAACTAGAATAAGAAATCTTGAAATTCAGTCTATTTGTTGCCATAGCAACCAGAATTTTCAACATAGGAAGATAAGAAAAGGATGTGCATAATTTCCATACTGCCATCTACCCATATGTCAAGTTTCATAAACATATTTTCAGTACTTTTTTGTGTTATCACTGGATCCAGGTTATGTGTAAAATTTGCCATATTTTCAGTCTATTTGTTGCCATAGCAACCAGAATTTTCAACATAGGAAGAAAAGAAAAAGACGTGCATAATCTCCATACTGCCATCTATCCATATATCAAGTTTCATAAAAATATTTTCAGTACTTTTTGCGTTATCGCGGGATCCAGTTTATGTGTAAAATTTGTCATATTTTCAGTCTATTTGTTGCCATAGCAACCAGAATTTTCAACATAGGAAGAAAAGAAAAAGACGTGCATAATCTCCATACTGCCATCTATCCATATATCAAGTTTCATTAAAATATTTTCAGTACTTTTTGCGTTATCGCGGGATCCAGTTTTGTGGACGGACGGACTGACGGACGGACAGACGGACGGACTGACGGACGGACGGACAGACGGACGGAGGGTAAACCTAAAGTCCCCTCCGGTAAACCGGTAGGGGACTAATAATCATAACAGCTAACTGAGTGCTTGACTGCAGAACAAATAAATATCCTATACGTTGACAATACTTTGATAACATGACTAAAGGGAAAATTTTTTGTTTAATGAAAGTGACATAAAATTTCTTACAATATTCTGCCCTAAGCATGGGAGTTCTATGTCTTCTTGGCTTTATGTAAACTACAATTCCAGGATTTTGTTGTGTAAAATCAAGCAAATCTTGTTCAACAAACTCCCTGAAAGAAAGATAAAGGTATAGTATGATGACTATAATATACAAATCCACAATTTTTTAACTTATAATGTTTAAACAAGCCAAGAATGATGTCAGTTTTAAAATAAAACATAATCTTAATCATGATTTTATGCTGAAGTGATTATATTTTGTAAGCAGACATCTCATTTGTCAGTCAAGCAACACTGTCTTGAGATTTAATGTTTTCAGTAACAACTTCTTTTGATCAATTAAAGTTAACTCGTGATGGGCCTTTTGGCTGTTATTGTTGGAGATTAACAAACAATGACACCTTTCACTGAATAATGAACTTGTGTCAAGGAAATTGCATGCTTTGAATTTTGCTGCATCATGTGTAAATAATGTGCATCAAATATGCAAGAAATACTGTCTCAGTGTATACCAAGTTATCTACAACTTGATGAAATCTGAGCTATTTAAACGAATCATAATTATTAAAATATCTCAAGCAAATGTATTGTTTTTTTGCCAAATAATTGAAATTATAATGAAATGTTTGGTTGTAATTAATTATGCCCCCAAAAGGAGGCATATTAAAATCGCACAGTCTGTCTGTGCATCCCCACTTCTTTCGTGTCCAGACTGAAACTTTGTCATACATTGAGGGATTTTGAAATAGCTTGGCACAAATGTCTACCACATAAAGACTATGTGTCGCGTCCAAAAACCACATCCCTACCTTAAAGGTCAATGTCACACTTACATTTTGAAGTTTCACATTAACACAAATAGAGTTAATAGGTACACAGTGACACATTCGTGTCAGTACTGTAACTTTGTCATGCATCGAGGATTTCAAT